ACATAAAAACAAAAAACCTCACAAGCTTTTTGCCTCTCCCTGGAATGATGAACATAAATAAAACTATCACCTATACAGAAAGAAAGGAAATGGGGAAATATCAAAGAAGAAAAGTTAACATTTGAGAACAAAATTTCACTATATATTTTCTCCTAATAAATCTTTTGCATTGTTATGAGGAAGAATGGGGTTTCTTATCTAGTTGCTTGATCTCTTTCTCTCCTCAAAATGGTTGGGGCTGACTCTGTCCCAAATAGGGCTTTCTCAAGTAAAATATCTCTGAATAAAGCAATTCAAACTTCAAAGTTCTTTCTCACCCTAAGCATCTACAAGGGCTAGAGATTCTTGTATTTCTTTGAGTAAATTCTACACTGGGCAGGGAGAAGACTTTGACTCTATAAGTGAACCTCAGTGGCATCTGACTGTCATTCATCTCTTTACTCGGCTTTTCTCTATACCACCTAAACCCACACCTTACGAGAAGAAGAATCTCAGAAACTGGGCCACTTCATTTTTACAGTTCAACTCCTTCCCTGAAAGCTTGGTGTGGAGGCAGCTTGTGCAATGCATTTGCACTTTACTTACACCTGGGGTTCCATTTTTGTTTTGTCTTGCCATCTACTTAAAAACATCAGAAAGAACTACATGGTTCATATTTTATTGTTCACACTACTTGACTGAATAAGGACAAGTCTCATATCTTCTCAAACATAATAGTACTGATAACTGCTTAGGCAAAATGTTTCTAATGCATCAACATTTCTGTTATTAAGATCAGAAATCCTGCCTTTATAGAAGACTAAGCTGTTTATTCTGGTTGACTCACTTTATCTACTAAAACAGACAACAAACAATAAAATTAATTCTTCTTACCCGTTTCTTATAATTTTTACTCTAGTTTATCCATAGCTGAAATAGTGAAGTGAGATTGGTTTGTAGAGGGATTGGACACCATCACTAACCAGCAGTGGTAGTATCTAGAATATGGTAGGTGCTAATAATGGGCAACTTATACTTGGCCTAATAATGGAGGGGATGTCCATACGAATAGACATAAGGACCCAAAACAGTGATTGCATAGGCTTAAAATGAAAAAGACAAATTCAAGAATTTCAAGAAGCATTTGGAAGACTAAACGTCCTCCTTTTAAGGAAATGCCTCATGGGCAGATTTCATGGATGATCTAGGGGACAGAAGTACCATGACTTATTTTTAGAACCCAATTGGCTAATGTATCAGTCAGCTTTGTGTTTCTGTGACAAAATATCCGATAAAAAGAGCTTAAAGAGGGAAGAGTGTACTTGGGTGTAAAGATTTCAGTCTATGGCCACTTGGGCCTACTGCTTCTGAGTCCATGGTGAGGCAGAACATCATAGCAGGAAGCAAGTGGCTGAGCACAACTGCTCATATTATGGACAAGAGGCAGAGAGGCAGATGGGGGAAGAGCATATGCTGGAGAGGTAGAAGCTGGGGATAAGACAGTGTCTCCATATCCACTCCTCTTATTCAGCTATGAATTGAAAAATAGATTAAGTGGCTAATGAGCTTAATGTCATCACGATCCAATCACTTCTCGGAAGTCCTGCAGTTGCCCTTTCAGGGACATTTTAGATCCAAACCCTAATGCCTGACATTCTTATCCAGGTATACTTGAAACTGCATCCCAAGAAGCACTTATAGTATGGTGGATGGTAAGTTCTACACTGACCATGGGGCAGGGGAGAAGAGATCTGGTTAATGTATGGGTATAGTTTTCTGCTTCCTTAGTACAAACTGGAGAAAATCTTTTTTCCTCTTTCACTGAGTGGTGACTTTCAGGAAAGCACCATTTAATCTACTAATCAGATTTAAATTTCACATTTATGATATTATTTGATTGAACCAAAGTAATTCTGTGAAACATGTGCTCCAAGAAATTAACATTTATCTCAGCTAAAAAAGCATATTTTCTTAGAAAGAATTTGAGATCTACAGTTAGAAAATGTAGGCATTGGTTCAGAGATTGTTGTTTGACAAGTCTCAAAATTCTATTTCTTTATTTATAAGATTATACTAATAGTCATTTCTACCTAATACATTGTGAAGACTAAGTAAAATCTTACCTGTGACTAACTCACTTTGTAAGCTCCAAATTGAAATCTCATTATTCAATATTTACACTAGAGCCTACACCACACACCTGTCATCATTGAGCACTGTTATGATTCACAATCTTTTTTGATTCAGCTTTTTCCAAGACCACCCATGATTGCATCAGGCATAAGGATGTCCATCTATCAGTGATACTAGACTCTTTGCCCTCAAAGGCCTTCTAGCTCAATAATGTAAACACAGCTGAATCTGAACCTTGAAATATCCTCATCTTTTGCACAGTAAACTCCCATGTTCCCAGATCTGACAAAACTTGTCTCATCCTTAGTCATCACATTCTCCAATGCTGACCTACTCTTCAATCTCACTGGACTTAATTTCTTTCTGTCTTTCTTTTTTTAGCACAGGGTCTACAGGGTCTCACTATGTAGATCCAACTCATAGTGATCCTGTTTTCTGCCTTCCAAGCACTGAGATTACAGGCACAAGCCACTACACCCAGTCTCAATCGCCCTCTCAGCGCGCTCTGGGGTAAAGCCAGCACTGCAGGCCAGGGACCCAACCCTGGCTGCTGCACTCTGCCTAAGCAAGCACTTTAGTCCACTGAGCGATCTGGCTGGCCCTTGGACTTCTTTCTCAAATCTTTCATTATAACTCTAATGTTATCATTTATTTCTAGATGTTCCCCAAGAGCTTTATGCTTTCATAGTCCTTTTGAAAGAGGACTGGACCATGGAGGCACTACTGCTGGCCTGCTGTTAGGAGTTAGGTCCTGTTCAAGGGAGTTAGGGGTTGCTCAAGGCATGACCTAAAAGGGTATATCTCTCCCTTCCTGGATCCTTCCTTTCCTCTCTGCTTCTGACCTCCATAATGTGAGCAGCTTTCTCTGTCCTTCCACAATGATGCCAACCATCAAGGGCTGAAGCTTAAAACATGAGCCAAAAATGTTTTTCCAAGTTGTAGCTGTCAGGTATGGTGTCTTAGCAATGGGAAAGTGACTCAGGGATTCAGCAAGACCCAGTTATCTAGGCTAGAAATTGGGAGTCATGACCCTTCGAATTGTCTGTTCATATTAAATTGTCCATCAAACCCTACAGATCTTAGCATTTATCATATTCATCCCACAGCTACTTATCAGTTCAGGTACACATCTCTTTTTGGGTTCTTACACTTATCATCTAACTTGAATTTATAATGGGCCTAAATCTCTCAAATAATCTAAGAACAATGTCTCTAAAGCATAGTATTTTCTTTAATGCTCCCTTGGTTTTTACAGGATACAATTCTGTGCCTTTATGTCATAGAGAGCTTTAAACAATATATCTACAATTATTGCAATATGTTTTATTGCCCATACCCCTCAAATCTGCCTGTCAAATATTTATTCATTCATAATTTAGCTTAAAATTCATTTTTCTCTCTGAATTCTTATTCTACTCTTGCTATATCACAACCTATATTAATCTTGTCTCTTTTTTGTTTTTTTTTTTTTTTTGTTCCTCGCATGCCTTCAGGGCACATTTGGCCAGCGGGAGAGTTGTGAGGTTCGAACTCCAGCCACCTGAGGCTGACAGCTTTGTGGAAGCAGCCACTTAAAGGACTGAGCTAGGCCCAGGCCCCCTATCTTGTCTCTTTTGTATTGCAAATTTTCTGTGTGCTTATATCATTACTTCTTTTACATTTGATTGCATTGAGCACTTATTTCCTTCTCTAGATTATAGGAAAGTAGAAATATATCTTATACATTGATGTATTGCCAATACACATACACACAGAAAATTTCTAGTTCTAAATAAGCATTTTAAAAGAATAAATGGAAGATTATGCAAGTCTTAAGATGAATAATATGGCATAGCAAAACTAAGACTGAAGTACATACTTGGGGTGGGGAATAGTTGTGAAAATCGTGTTCTTCATAATTCTAAAAAGGACCATTCACAGTTTTATAGACTGTTTTTATCTCACCCAAATTTACATTTAGAAGCCCTAATTCTTCATATGATGGCATTTAGAGATGAAGAGTTTGGAAGATAATTTGGGATTTAAGGGAGGCAATGAACACTGCAATGGAGACCTCAAGATGGGATTAATATCTTCATGAGAGACACCAAAGAACACTACTTTCCACATAGTGCCAGCAAACAGAAAATAGCTCTCTGTAAGCCAGAAAGAAAACCTCACCAGGGATCTAGTCAGCTAGTACCTGTTCTCACTGAGGAAAACAAACATTTGCTGTTTAAGCCCTTAAGACCATGTATTTTGTAATGGCAGCACAGACAGAGACATAGCATTATTGTTTTGGACATGGAACTTCTTTGGTCATCCCACTAGAATTTAGTTGTCTATACTCTACATTCTTGTAGAGCCCTCCCAATCACTATTACACACACATTGCACAGTGCACTTGTCATCTACACTGAAAGTGACTGGACATCCAGGATTGAGCATGGTCATGAATTGGGCCTTCAACAGTTTCCAGTTCAAATTGTGCACAAACACACACGATACTGCTATTCTGAATTTGTTCTAAAGTTGTGATATACACAGTTAAGTTAATATCACTGGAAGATAACTGAGCCATATAAGAGAGAAAAAAGCTAAAGATTCAAGAGCACAGAATAAAAATCAGGTCTATTTTCTGGTATATGTAATGTGAATGGTAGTCTGAAAAGAATACTTCTTAAATTACCTAAGTGGTGCCTGCAGTCTATAAATTTCATTTATTCACAGACATGCATGTGACCATATTTGGCAAATCAATCCAGTAGTTGAATATTAAATTTTCTCCAAAAAAGATTAGTTTGTAACCAGATGATTCATATAAAAATAACTATACTTTATCTAATTCCAGTGATCCTCATTCCTCTAGTTATTATGAGTGAGATTTGTCAGATACTTTTCCCACTTACTAAAATTTCCATGGCTTTATCAGATCATCAAAATGTTTTATGGGCTCAGCTCCTGTTAAGGGAAAAATGTTTAAATGAGACACTAAATATTTTGATTGTAGGGTTATTAGTCCTATCTCCTTTTAAGAAAACAGTTTCCTAGACATAAACAATACCTTCTATATGGGACAGAGCCATGGTTTTAACTGTAACTATTATTCACTGGCATAAGAAAACCATTACTCATTGGCACATGAGCCTGAAGTGAAGAATTTCCCATGAGAACTAGGGAGTCTTAGAGAGACTTCAGAAGTCATTTCACTCAGTACATACAATAGGTGTATAAAATAGACAGTGTTGAGATGGGAAGGGGAACTAGGGAGTGGAGAGAAGGAAGAGAAAGGAAGGGAAAAGAAAATAAAGGAGAAAAGAAGGAAAAATTGGAATATATATATATATATATATTATACATAAAACATTTTGGTACTTATTTACACTTTTGACTTCTAACACCAGGTAAACTGCACTACTTATACATATGTGTCTGATTTATTTCACTTAACAGTATGTCATCAAGGTGCATTCAGTTACCTAAATATGTCTCAAAGTTAACCTTTATGGCTGAGTAGTACTCTATTGTATAAAAGAACCACACATCTTTATATCCATTCATCAGTTGATGGACACAGTTGTTTTTTATTTTTAAATCTGGCATCTTTTACTTAGCAATATTTTCAAAGTTAATCTATTGTTATAAATATTCTTGTCTTCCCTAAACTCAGTATGTTGAAACCCTACGCTTCAATAGTATACGGTATCGGAAGGCAAAGTCTTTGGAAAGTAACTAGGCTTAGGTAAATTCTTCTTGGAAGACCTTCCATGACAACGATAGGTTAATGTTCCTTTGAGTGGTGGGGGAATTAGTGCTCTTTTAAGAGTAGACTAGAATAGGGGCTGGTGAGATGGCTCAGTGGTCTAAAGCACCTACTTAGAACAAGCTTAGCAAAGCACAGGGACCACGGTTCAATCCCCCAGCACCACATGCC